GCGGCCGTTGCCGGAAAGTTGCGCGTTCCTGGCATGCCTCTGGGGAGCCTGGCGGGGAGGAGGCGCCCGGAGCAGAGCTCCGTCCCCAGGCGGCCGCTGTGAGGGGGCGGCGCCCCGCCAGGTGTCCGGGCGTCTTGTGCCGTAGTAAATGGTTGAACCAGGCACGGATCTCCCCTTATCTTGAGGCCGTTTGCAACGACTGACTGCCAGTTACCAGACTGGGTAGCTGATCGTTCAGCTCCCTTCGTCCTAATTCGTTTCTGTTTTTGTCTCAGGCTTTACGTAGCGTCTATGAAGATAGAAACTGATTTCCTGACCTGACTTACCAAGCTGTGGCCAGAGCCTTTTTGTGAGGAGTCTTGGCAGGAAGATGAGTACCCTCAGCTCGCAGTAAGCTCCAGTTGTCTGTAGTTCTGTGCAGTTCTGGCACGTCAGATAGCAAATCTCTTGTATGTTTGAAACGAGTTAAGAACAGCTCAGATCATCACTTGTGTTTTCCCTCAGGTCCTTGTGATCATCATACTTGCGTATATATGTAGATTACCAGTGCAGACAGAGAAATTTAATGTTTGTTCACCAGGTCTTTTATAAAGGCAGAAAACATACAAAGGATTCTTTAGTTTTTCATCGGGTACTGCAGAGAGATGGTTGCAGCCCTTTACTAGAGTAGGCTGATTGGGATAACCAAATCTTCAACTGGTTGGTTTGGTGAATTGCTGTTTATGATAAAAATAGTGAAATGTTTTGAGAGTACTACAGGAATGGTATTTTGATAAAGTTTTATAACAAATCTCCTGTATATTGAATGGCTTTGGACAGAACAGCTTACTTTATTACAGTCTGTGTTGAAATTCTACAGTATGTTGCCCTCTCCCACAAATTTTCCTGTCTTATTCAGGGATGATGAAGATACCTTTAAAATACTTATTGCTACCGATATTCATCTTGGCTATTTGGAGAAGGATCCAGTGCGTGCAAATGATACTTTTGTGACTTTTAATGAAATTCTGGACCATGCTCAAAAAAATGAAGTAAGTGCTGCTTTTTGGAAAGTGAAGGAGTGAAACCATGGAAAATACGTTCCAATCTGCAAGAAGCTTTAAAGCTTAGTCCTGGTGCAATCTTTAGTAATATCAAATTAAATGACTAAGCTAAACTATTTATTGCAACCACTTACATTTTTGTTTTAGTAAAAGGAATGCCTATTCCTTTGTGAGAGCGTTCTTACTAAATTATGACCCTGGTTGCATTAGTGGTATTTTCAGATTGCCTGCACCAGTTCCAGTTGGTATTTAGAGATGGTTTGTCACTGCAAGAAGGGAAAATAATGGGGGAGAGTGAGACTAATGACACAAAGTCTTCAGACGACTCAGAAAGTAGGAAAAAAAGTTAGAAACTTTTAGAGTGTTGATTCTTCTTTAAGGATTGAATGTTTCTTAGTCAAATTATTTGTAATTTTGATGAAGATGTTTGGGGTTTTTTTCCCTAATGCTTTTCAAAAGCTAAATATATACAGAAACTGCAACTAGTACCTTTTCAAAGTAACGTAGGAATAGCTACTGGTTTCTTCCCACTAGGTATCACAGCAATGAAAAGTATCTCTTCATGCCTGTCAAATAAAATGTTCGGGAACCAATCTGGAGACACTTATTAAAACAATTAACAGGTTTTTTTTGGTTTTTTTCGACAGTCTCAGTTGTTTTCTTTCTTATGAAGTAGAGCTCTTCATAAATGGGTCTTTTGGGGTTTGGTTTTGTTTTAATGAATAATTTAGTTAATGTTTGTTTCATGAGGAGACGAAATACCATGTCTGCAACTACCAACTTGTTTCACCTAGAACTCCAGATATGAGGAGATACGGAACTCCTTAAATGAAAGAATTAAAACAATTTGCTTAGGATTCTTTCACGGTAATACAAAATGTTGTATTAAAATAATAGAGCTTTTTGTTACATACAGGTGGACTTTGTTTTATTAGGTGGGGACCTTTTTCATGAAAACAAACCTTCCAGAAAAACAGTACACTCTTGCTTGGAGTCACTGAGAAAATACTGCATGGGCGATCGTCCTGTTCAGTTTGAAATTTTGAGTGATCAGGCAGTTAATTTTCATTATAGCAAGTAAGTATGTTCCTACAAATTACAGTGTAAAGTTTGGTTTGCGTATTGGGTGAAGGTGTTGTGATTTTTATGATTTATATCCTCCGTGTCTGGAACCCTGATGTTTTAGGCCTGTTTGTTAGGGACAGTTTACATCATCACTTCACCTCTCATCTTTTATAATCTAAGCCTATAAAGGAATGCACACAATTTTCTGAGAAACTTCTGAATGTTGTGACATTTGATACATTTATATAATCTACAGTTTCTATCTTGTAAGTACAAAGCAAGTAAACCAATTTGCATGAATTGCTGTGGTAAAATCAGCAGTTCTTTGTGTGTAAACAAACGTGGCACAGCCCAGTCCGCTGCTCTTGCACATACCACACAACATGTTGTACAATTCTTCTCATCGGCTTGCTCTTAAATAGGATCTTTTTGCTACCCTGTTCCCAATGGGAAGTGCTATTCCAGTTTACGAGTAAATTATCTTATGCTGTGCAGCTTAAGCTTATTCATAGCCGCTTAGTACTCATTTGTGCTGCTGTCATGATGTATTTGTGATGATGTTAACTTGAAGAGAATATTGGGAATTGTCCACAGATTTGCAGATATAGTTTAACTTTTTTTTCCTCTTCTTATTCAGGTTTCCATGGGTGAATTATCAGGATAGAAATCTCAATATTTCTATTCCAATTTTTAGTATTCATGGCAATCATGATGATCCCACGGGGGTAATTACTGTTGTTGTTGTTTTACTATACTATTATATTACAAAAATTATATTATAGAAATAGAGACTTGTATAGAAATGCAGTTCTTGGAGAATAGACTAGTTTTAGTTAGTTGCTCCACTCTTCATGTAAATATTTTGCGTATTTTAAGAAATTCTATTAATTAGTGACAACAAGTGTGACATTAAAAAAGAGAATGGAAAGAAGTAAAGGCATCCATATGAACTATGCTTAAATTCTTAATTTACGTAGATTTCTGTCATAGAGAACAGAATCAGTTTTCATGCCAAGAAATGGCAGCCTTTCTGAAAGTTTCTAAAATTCTATCTGTAGACACTGAAAGCTTTTTTTCTTAAAGAAGGAGAATTTGGCTACTTTGATTGCATATGCAATTGATATGCACCTTATATTTTCAAGGAAGATAATCTAATAATGATGAAATGCTAGTTTAAAAATCAACAACTAAAGGTAAGCAGGAAAAAGACATTTGGAAAGCAGCAGAGCACGTGTGCTGAATTAATAATTTTGCATTTTATATCAAATAGCAGCTTATCATGGAGATGAGCGTTTTAACAACAGAAGTTTAACTTTGGACCTGCTATGCAGTATTCAGCTGAACCAGATAATTTTCTGTAGTAGTTTGGAGACTTTGGCTGTTTGGAGTTGTTTTGTTTTTTGAATGATGTAATGTTTAATTTCATGTTGTTCAAATGAAGCAAGACTTGTAAGGAAAAGGGATTTGCTTCTCTTCCTGTGAGTACTGAAAAAAAGCTAATATGTGGCAGGGTTTTTCAACTGCAGAAGTTATTTAAGGAAATATATTCTCTCTCCCTTTTGAGACTGTTTCACTTAGATTTTTAAATACTAAATGTTATGTTATTTTTTTTTATATTTGTTCCTTAATATTTTCTACAGGCAGATGCACTGTGTGCATTGGATATTTTAAGCTGTGCAGGATTGTTGAATCACTTTGGACGTTCAAGTTCTGTGGAGAAACTAGATATTAGTCCCATTTTATTGCGTAAGGGTAGAACAAAAATTGCTCTGTATGGCTTGGGTAAGTATTAGTCTGTCAGACTGCGTTCATGTGTTACTGGAACTCAGTAGGTCTAAATCAAGTTGGAACAAACATATAGGGCTGCAACAAACATGAAAGTCTAAGCAATGCTAAATTAAAGCGTATCAGTTCTGTGATAGTGTCAGTGTTCTCTTCCTGCTGCGTTGTCACTGACAAGTTTCGCTTTCCTTTTTTTAATTTTAAACCAAACCCTTCAGTAACTTTGTTTCTATAGTTTTGTTGGTCTTAAATGAACCCTGCTGAAGTTAACCATAGATAGTGCCTGTGTATGGAGTCGGGGCAATCACACTCTTAAATTCTCACTGGTGTGTATGAAGCTTATTTCATACATAGTAAGGGTTCTAATACCACAGTATGGAAGTTTTCAAAAAGTATTTGAATTTTTAGTACCTAAAATCGTTACTGGGAAACACAACAACTTTCTAAAGTACGGGTGTTGCTGCATAAAAATGTTCATGAGATGTTTCTTTGAGCTTGTGCCAGGATTATATACCCTTGACTTTCTCTGATTTAGAGATCACTTGTTCTTATACAAAATATGTAAACTCCAATGGGATTTTATTGCAATGCATCCATGGGTCTGGGTGGCTTGGGTTGTTTTTTTTCTTGTTAAAAGCGTCAAGGAAATAATCAGTGACAAACAGTTCAGAAGTACTGCACACTTTTTCCTGCTGTGTGGGAAAGCCCAGACTTTGCAGAATTCATGTTTTTTCTTATTTTGTAGAGAATTGCAAAGTATGTTTAAGAACTCCATCTCTGTTCAGTTCTATCTGTTTTTAGATTCCACCTTGCAACAAAATATACTTCTTACTCTGTCATCAACAAACAAAATGCTTTTTCTAGTATTTTTAATTCTGCCCGTAGTCAGTTGTTTGGCACAGAAAACTGGCAAGAGATTTCAAATCAGATGTAGTTAATCAAATGGGTTTAGCAGTTGTTTAAAGGTAGATTTCTTGTTGAAATGCCCTATTTTCAGAAGTCTCTCTAGTAAAATTTCCAACTTTTTACTTTGATCTGTTCAAATTCATAATCACGCCTCAGACTTCTTAGGTTGTGGAAGTGAAGATCTGATCTTGCCACAAAGTCGTGTTCTTCATGGTCTATTAGAAAAGAGTTGCCAACAAAAATGCTATAAAATAAAGGGTTGGTTTACCTCACAAAAATGACATAATGTTTTGGTTTGTCCACTCCAGGAGCTATTCCAGATGAAAGGTTGTATCGTATGTTTGTCAATAAACAAGTAACCATGCTGAGACCAAAGGAAGATGAAGACAGTTGGTTTAACTTGTTTGTGATTCATCAAAATAGGTAACAGTATTGAATAAATTATGGTGACTTTTGAACTTACTGTGTTACTTCATTAAACTGCCTTGAAAGGGATAGGTGAGAAAGCCAGCTATGCTACTTGGTGCTTGTGAGTAGCTGGTTTCTTAAGATTTTCCCAAATGAGAGCATTATTTTACAGCTCTTCTTACAGAAGAATCACAAAGGAAAAGAGTTGAAATAAATGAGTTAGGAATGTTAGGAAATCTCATCCTAAACCCTTACAGTTAGGGGCAGTGGAAGGTTTGTAGTGTAATATGCATATAATTAAATCTCATCTGCTTGTTAGAGCTGAAAGAGCATTAAACTTCATATTATATTTTCTATCCATGTTTGAACCATGATTTGACAAGTACTATATCTTCACCTGCACTGCTATGCTATACTTTACAGTTTCTCTTGAGTAGAGGATCAGTAGCACGCATTCTTTCTGCCTACACACTTCTTGCAGCAGTGGTAGTAGGAACAGGCAGAGTTCTCTTCCAAATCCTTTCTTACACTTTTTCCTGATTAAGAGTGCAATTCTCATGTGCAAGTAACGGTGAGGCAGAAGTAAACAAATGTAGCTCACATAACCCTATGTACTCATCTCTGTCCAGGTGGCTGAAAGACCTCACTCCTCCTCCATCTCCTCTATCTTCTGGAAAGGGATGGGGGGGG